CCTTCCAACCCCTACCACTCCGTGAGTCTGAACAGGTGCTTGTTGTAGCACTTCGGTCAAAAGTAAAGCACAAGCTGACTCACAGTTTAACTGAACTCTTTTAGGCAATACTGAGATCTACTAGAATCTTGATTAACTGAATACAGTCTGCAGCAAGCCACAGTTTCAGTCTTCTGGCACTTGTGCATAGCTCTGGATTGCTCCATTTCAGTAATGACAAAGGGACACTATTTTGGGCCTAACTGGGAGGTGCAGATGAAATGGAAAGTTATCACAATACGTAGGTACACTGTGAAAACATAGGTGTAATTAGCCACAATCAGTTTTAAGTTGGTCTATGTTTGCTGGTTTTACACAGTTATTACTAGCCTATAACACCCCTATTGTCCCTCTGCTGTATCTTGCTTTCCTTCTAGTATAAGCAAAATCCACTAAACTTTCATTTTTGGAATTAACTGGAATTACACAAAATACTCTGTCTATGAAAGAACTGCTAATAAAACACTTTCCCATAAGCCTAAGTCAGTTAAGGGCTCTGGATTCAGATAACATTAACAGGTAATTTCTCTTACCTCAGGTGTCCCCAGTGCCCTTAATTCAAAGGCAATAAACTGTTCCTGTCCTCCTCATGTCAGTCAACAACCTCTTCCTTTGCTAACATGCCTCTGGGTCTCCAAAAGTAATAGTGATCTTAAGGAAACGGTCACTAATTGATTAACACAATCTATTTAAACTCAGAACAACAGCATTTTAAATTTTTCAAGAAACAGCAAAGTTATAGGGAATGACAGCTGAATCTCTTAGACTACAGGATAAAGAAAGCATTATATGAAAAGGGCAGACACCAAATTCAAAAGGGTCAAAGAGACTTTTCAGCATGCAACATGAGGTCAAGCTGTGGCACTACTTGCCACAAAACACTATGGGTGCTAAAATGCTAAAAGTGTATATGAATTTAAAAAAAAAAAAAAGGAAAAAGAAAACCCATGAGGGCTATTAAGTACAAAGCATCACCTCTCAGAGTGTAAAGCACTGCCCCCTTGTACACGTTCAAGAGTTTCTCCCATCCTTATCCAAGTTGACTTACTTTGGCTTTTTGGAAAAAAAGACGAAAACAGCCTCTTGGATCCACATTGCCGTTTCTGGCAATTTCTATAATAAACTGCATGACAACTGCTTGGTGTGCTACTTGCTCCATCAGAGCTCTTTTCTGAAAAAAAGTTAAAAGTTATGATTTAAAGGTATTTCCTGTGATTATATTTCTAAAATTCAGCATAATTTCCTTTTGTTCTAGTTTCTAAACAGGTAAGAACTGATGCTCACAGAAGCAAGGGGACTAATGATTATCTATAACTAGACATATATGTGACAGTGCACTACAGAATTTTTCTTCAATAAAGTAGACAGAGGGTGGGAAGAACAGTTAAACAGTTAATCAAGTTGGTCAGCTTTTCTATATGGCAAATGGGAAATGGTATGCTTTCAAACAATGTAAATGTCTTCTTCATACCTGTTCAGCTTCTAGATGAAAACACCACAACATGAGATATCTAGATGTTTCTTCACATACAAGATATGGGTGATCAGACAAAAATCTTTGACTATCATCCCATCTTCTCAGCATACCTAATAAGAGAAACATAATTAAGATTTTCTAAATGGGTAAAGGATTTAATGCAGAAAGGAAGTTACTTGCATTGATACCCCAGTATATATAACATCTTTGCAATTCACTAACCTCCAAATGTCAGCATGAAGCTAAATTTGGGGGGGGGTTTGTTTATACATCTAACCAACACTGAAAGAGCATTACTGGAAGGTATAATGAGACTTTGAGGATATGAAAAATAGATTTTAACAGTCACATTTTCCTCTCTTCTAACGCATCTCCAGCATTGCTGGTACATTATTTTTAATCAGTGCTCATGCACACTAACAAAGTGGTGTAGGTATCTATTAGTTACATCATCAAATAGTTTAGTTAGTTTATGGACAGAGATGTACATTCAGCGATTCTGACAAACACAAATCCTCTGAATGTTTGCAAAAAAGAAAAATGTGTAATCTGTCAAATACAAAAGTGCTTCTAACACACGATTCACTATGCTTTTAGGAAATTTGATTTTAGTTACATGAACAGTTTAATCTCAACAAGCAAAGCCACATCAGTATTTGTAAACTTAACTAGAAGACTAAATTGTGACAGCATGAAGCCACCTTCATGTAAAGAGCTGAGTTTAAGAATCAGAACTCAATACTCAGACCACATCTTAAAATTAGCCTTCATGTATCACTGACAAGTCATTACTGGAAACAGGTACCAGATATACAGCTTTACCCACCTATCAGCGTATAATTATAACTGGGTTAAAGATAACTCTCAGTGGTAATGACTAAGCTAATCTTAATTCTAGCAAATGCCTAAAGAGAAAGCAATGGCTAGAATTTCTTTTGGCTGTTTTCAAGGGAGCTGTCCTGCCTTAGTTCTTTATTACTTGGAAGCCAGAGCAGGATCCAGAAACAGGTCTCCTACAGTATGGCTGGTGAAGTACACACTGCCCCTTGGCAGCAGCACAGAACAAGAGACTTGAAAGAGCATTAACGCACAGTTCCTTTTTACACCGGACTTAAGTATTTTGAATTAAAATAACAACATGGCTTTGCTTTTAGGAGGTAAGAAAAAAACCCTGATGACCACCTGTAATAACGTTGCTTTTGTGACAGCTTAATCTGAATTTAGACAAAATAAGTTTGCCCAACTCTTATCTAGGAAGCCTGCAAGAAAGACTATCCTGAAATGCAGAGCAGGGGAGACATCTTCTGATTCTGCTAACTCTTAGCAGTTAAGAAGGTGTACCTATCACTGCTATTCCCATACACTGACAGTGTTGTGCCTCAGCTTGGTGCCTGCAAGACTTGCTAAGCCTAACAGGGCTTTAAACCAGTACGATCCTTAGAAGCCAAATAGCTTAGTAAAAATGAGTTTGGGCAAACAATTGAATTTTGCCGACTCAGTTCTGTTCTTGATTGTTGTGGAATTCCAAAAATGGCTACACTATACCATAGTCACAAAACAGCCTGTAACTAAGAATGGAAAGCATTTCAGAGAACCATCAACATTTCAGATGACTACAAGATCAGCTTCGTGTGTAACTGGGTTCAACAATTATGACAGAACTAAAGTGACACCTAGTGGATAATGAAATATAACTTTAAGACACGCAGAATTCCATGCACACATATTCTCAGTAGGCATTTACAGATGTTTCGTGTTTTTTTAACACGACTTATGCTTCCATGAATGTCCTTGCCTTTTGCCACTGAACAGCAGAAAAAGTTGCTAGAACTTTAGTTTTCAGGGCTTAAGCTAATTCGATTTTTTTTTTTTTTAACTTAAGTTCTTATTGGTCACAGGAACTAACAAACTTCTACACTTCGCACCTTATTTTGCTTTGAAATTACTATCTGTCCTGATAAAATAAAGCTGAACAGTCTATTAGCCAGGTCTTTCATTCATGAGCAGTCATTCTGTACAATAAGGAGCAGACCCACAAAAATTCTGTGCAATTTTGAACTGCAGAATGTAGGAAAAAGCACACTCACCAAAGTGTCTAATCTTTTGTTCATGTTTTTGCATAAGTGGTTCAGACACATCATCTTCTATTTCTTTTCTTTTTTGATTAATAAAACTCTGAGGAAAAGAAAAATTGTGATATTGCAGAAACTCCAGACATACCCTTTTGTGATGTATAGAAATAAAAAATATTATTATTTAAAGAGTTATGTTCTCAGTTTAGAGTCATGTCATATACTTGAGAAGGTTTTCTTTTTAGAAGTGCATTACCTAATAATAGAGTTTAAAAGTCTTACTATAGTCTACTGACCAAAGAACTCTGAGAAATGCGGTCCTCATGTAGGAAGGAAGATCTTGCTGGTCTGTCAACAATGAGAATCAGGTACACTGCAGCCTGAATACAGCTAAATCAGTGAAATTAGGAGATGCGCTCACTGTTCAAATTAAACTGTGAAATTAAAAGCTCAGCACTACCAAAGAAAAATTGTACTAACTAATCTGTATTACAGTAGTCAGTATTAGAGGCAAAATAAGAGTTTCACATTTTAAGGATTTGGCACAGTAGAGAAGCATGCTCTATGCGAAGAAACTATTGTTCATGCATTTGGCAACACCTGCACTACACAGTAGTTTGGGTTGGAAGGGACATTTAAGGATCACATACTTCCACCCCTCCATGCCATAGGCAGGTACATCAGTTTGCTCAAGGCACAATCCAAAACAGACTGCCTTCCTTCCAGGAGGGCATCCACAGCTTCTCTGGGCAACTTGTTCCAGTGTTTTCACCATCCTCACAGTGAAGAATTTCTTCCTTACAACCAATCTAAACCTACCTTCATTCAGTTGTAAAGCATTGGCCCTGGTCTTATTGCTACAGGTTGTGATAAAAAAAATCCTCTCCCCATCTTTCTGATAAGCCCCCTTTAAGTATTGAAAGGCTACAGTAAGGTCAATAAGGGCTCCGTAGTACCTTCTCTTCTCCAGGCTGAACCACTCCAACTCTCTCAGCCTCACTTCATATGAGAGATGGTCCAGCCCCTTGACCATCTTTGTGGTCCTCCTCTGAACCTGCTCTAACAGATCCATGTCTTTCTTGCACTGGGAAACCCAGAGCTGGATGCAGTAAGGTCAATAAGGGCTCCGTAGTACCTTCTCTTCTCCAGGCTGAACCACTCCAACTCTCTCAGCCTCACTTCATATGAGAGATGGTCCAGCCCCTTGACCATCTTTGTGGTCCTCCTCTGAACCTGCTCTAACAGATCCATGTCTTTCTTGCACTGGGAAACCCAGAGCTGGATGCAGTATTCTAGTAGGTGGGGTCACTCCACAGTGGTGTAGAGGGGGAGAATCAGCTCCCTCGACCGGCTGGCCATGCTGCTTTTGATACAGCCAGGATACGGCTGGCTTTCTGGGCTGCCAGCGCACACTGCTGGCTAATGTCTAATACCTAGATGACCCATGCAAGTTCTGGTCGGCACTTCCGGTAGAGAAATGTCACTCAGATTTGCAGTATGAGTGCAGCTTGCTCCCTTTCATAAGGCAAAGTAATGGGGGGGGGGGGGGGGGGAAACACATACTGTGGTTTTGTGCTGTAGTGGACACAGAAGACACTTAAAGGTAGTAACAAGTGGAATGAAAACAAAAGCCAACACTTGTTCTCATGCACACTGATATGGGTCATACCTTATTAAATACCTCCTTACTAACAGGATCTGTGTTCCATAGATTCTGTTTTTCCCTCTGGTTTAGCGCTGCTTCTTTTCTTCTCCACTCTTCCTCTCTCCATCTCAACTCTGCAGCTTCAGTCTTTGCTTGAGCACAATCCTGATCGTGGGACTCTGCATTATGCAGTACTAAGCTACCAAATTTTTGCTGGGCATCTGCTAGGTTCCACGTGCATTCTACAGAGTGCTTCACAAACTCTCTTTCTTTTTGACAGGCTAATTCAATCCCTTGGCTGTATGTCTGTGAGGAAAACCAGACATGCTATTTATGCAGGGAAAATTAACAGTTTACAATTTCTACAGGAGCAGACAGACCCAAAGATCACAGAATCATGGAGTGGTTTGGGCTGGAAGGGACCTTAAACATCACCCAATTCCACCCCCCCTGCCATGGGCAGGGACACCTTCCACTAGACCAGGTTGCTCAAAGCCTCATCCAGCCTGGCCTTGAATACAGCCAGGGATGGGGCATCCATCACTTTTCTGGGTAAAAGATAACGCACCTGGAAGGCACCATTACATTCACAGAAGTGACGAAGCATAGTATTGTACAGTTAGACATATTTTAGAAACAGATTTCTAATTCAAGCTGTCTTAACTTTGTTAAGTGTGTTTGCAAAATCACTGATCACATACTGCTATCAGTATCTGACCTGTCTCCAGCTGACACAACTGAAACCCCTCTGGCTATCTTTGGGCTGCAATGCTAGCAACAGCCAAGTGTTAGAATACACCAGAATATATATTTATACTTCTGAGAGGAAAGTGTATCAGTTTTGTGATGTCAGATCACAACAGTAAAGTAACTGCTGCTGCCTGCATTCCAATATGGATTAGTGCCTAACAGATGGCCAACATCTTCCCTTGAAGTGAAAGTGGAATTTAAATTATGAAGTGGCTGAGGCCCAGCACAAGCATATGCTCCTTTTGGTCAAATCTACTGAGGAGGTCACCACTCACAGCTGGGAGAGAAAAGTCACCGTTTCAGCAACAGTGCTTATATTACTCTCAGGTGAGCGCTGGGAATTCACACTCAGTCACTTAAGAAATTATCTTCTAAAGCACGTCATGCCTTCCCACCGCGAGTGGAGAAGAAAACGTTCATATGCGTTACTCCCTCACCCTTCCAGCGCCGTGTTATGAAACCTGTGGTGCTGATAACCTCTGCCAGCGGGACACAAGCTGCGAGTGATTATCTGCAGGAAACTTTCATGCGGCTACATCAGAGTTCTTGTGCCAGCTTTGTTTGGGAACTACAGCATTTTTAGGTTTTTCAATAACAAGATAAAAACTTCACCGTCTGGAAAACTAATGCAACAGCAGCTTCTTACACGGGCACACAGAATTCCTGGCCCCGCACTTGTACAACGCCGACTTTCCCTAGCCAGGGGAGAAACACGCCGCTTCTACGTCTGCTCTGTAGACATGAGGATGCTGGGATAACTTCTACCCAGCTCTTTCCACACCACTAGCGAGAGCCGGAACGG